GGCCGCGGCACTGCGCCCCGGGCCAGTCCCGCTCCCCCCCCCCCTCCCCCGCGGACTTGGGCCTCGCCGCATAGTTGGTGCTCCCGGACTCCGAATAACGTTGGGCGCTAACGCAGCGCTAACGCGGAGCGCGCCGCGCGAAGCGAGCCACCGCTGGATTTCGCCCGGCAGCCGCTGCGTCCGCTGGAGGCGGGGAAGGGGGGGGGGGGGTGCTACTGGCGCCAAACTAACTGCGGGGCCCGTCCGTAAATAGGGAAGGCCGATTGGCGGCCGAGGTGGCCGAAGTGGGCCACGCTGTCGCTGGCGGGCTGGCGGCCCTGGCGGGCTGGCGGCCCTGGCGGGCTGGCGGCCGGAGCACCGGATGCGGTGCACTTCCTGTAGGGCGAGGCGGCGAGGTGCTGGCCGCTGGACAGCCAGTGCCGTGCCTACCCGTCTCCCCGCCCTCGGCCAGGACGGCCAAGCACGCCGACGGCACTGCTGGGTTCATACCGCGCGGGGCTTTTTGCGACAGCCGCCCTCGGACAGAAATAAATGCCCCGGCATGACAGGAGCCCCGGGTTCAAATACTGCGGCCCTATGTTTCCCCGTTTTGTGTTTTTCTGCCCCCCTTCCCCCGAGTGGGCGGGTCTGCGGCCTTGCCAAGTGAATTCCCTCTTCCCCGAGGGAGCCCCTTCCCTTCCCTTAAGGCCCGGAAGGCCCGGCAGGGCGCGCGAGCGGCGCGAGCCGTGTGTGTTTCTTTGAGCTCGATGCCTCGCTGCTCGCTGGCAGTGCTGGCAGGTCTCGCCGGAGATAGTAGATTATCTCCACTTCCGAACTCGTCGGCGCGGCGTCCCTCCCGGTGCCCCCTCCCCGCTAAGCCGCCAAGCCCTCCATGTATCCCGAAAGGGAAACCATCAGTCCCAGGCAGCAGCCCAGCCCGGCCCAGCCGCACCACGGCCCACGGCACGGCCCATCCGAACCCTCTTTCTTCTTCTTCTCCCTCCGTTTTAGCCGCGCAGTTTGCTGTAGTTGTAAGTTACGGCAGCTGTTTAGCCGCTGGCGAGTGACAAGTCGCGCCGCGTCACTCCCGATCCTCGCGTCGCGGTTCGCGGTCCCACAAGACAACGGTCCGAACGTAGCGCCACTGCCGGCACTTAGTTCCGGACGCCGCGCTGCCGCGCCACTGCTGCACCTGCCCCACCCCGTGACCCCACACCGTGAACCCACCGCTCGGGTCGGGTCCCCTGGCGACGACACTCTTCGGACCAGGGATTTCTCACCTGACCGACAAGGATCAAAACGCCGACCCGGTGGCCAGGTGGCGGTGGAGGAGCGCTGAGACTTCTCCCCAACTGAATCTTTTAAAACCGTGGTGGTTGGTGGTAGTTTTGACTCGTGTATTTTTGATGCTGTTTTTTCAACGCGGTACAAACTTTTCTGGGCGAGTACATAGTAGTACTGGCAGTGGCGGGGGCAAAGTGGCGGGGTCCATGGACTGGAGCGCCTCGCGCCGCGCCCCGCCCGCCATACCAGCTCACAAGTTGGCGGCCGCACCTCAACAATTTAGACGGCACTGCGGGGCGGGGCGGGGCGGGGCGGGGCGGGGCGGGGTGGAGCCGCGGGGTTGGTGGTGTGGACAAGTTCCAAGTATTGGGGGCAGTTCGGCACGCCACACACGCCGCGGGCTCGAGCCCAGCAGGCTCATGCCGAACAACGCACCGTCGCTCTGTCTCTCTCGCAGCCGCGCGGAACTCCCCAGAGAGAGAGACGGAGCGACGAACGCCCAGGAGGGCAACATCACTCGAGGAATGCGCCGCTGGACCCGCCGTAGAGCCGCGGCGTGGCGGAGCCAGTGGCGGAGTCAGTGGCGGGCTGACGACGCCGTCGTGCGGAACAATGGGGGGCCGAGGCGCGCGGCAGAACCAGGCAGAAACCGGCGACGGCCAAGCCAACTAGTCGGCAGCCGTGAGGGTGGGGTCCGCGACCGACGGCGACGGCGACGGCTTGGACGTGATTCGGCCGTTGTCGCGCCCAGGCGCCGCGGGCCTCGGCTGGCCTTGTCGCCGCAGGTGTACGTCGCGGCGGAGCGGGGCGCACCTGCAGCAGCCGTCCCAATAATAAAGGCAGCCCCAGGTGGGGCTTCGGCGCGACGTTCGTTTGAAAACAACGCGCGGGAATAATGGAATCTGCGTTCGGAACGCCTCGTCTCGCCTCGCCCGCCTCCGCGACGACCTTCACCGAGTCCGGGTTGTCTGGCTGCTCATCGCGGACGTCGCGGACTCGTGCCGCGCGGGTCATCTCGACCATCTCGCTCCTTTTTCCCGTCGCTTTTTTTCCTGCCGCCGATTTGATCTCGTTTCTTCCTCTCCGTGGCGTGTCTCGGCGCCCTGTCGCTCCCAAGGCGGTGAAACCGGCGGCAGGGCAGGGCGGCGGCGGCCTTCGTGGCAGGAGACGAGCCCCGGCTTGTTTGTAGAGCGAGAGGACGGAGAGGGCCGGGTCTGGCGGTGTCTCCGGACGGTGTCTCCGGGCGCCGGCGATGACTAGGGCACGTCGGCCACGTCGGCCACGCCCAGGACCGGCACTTGCCGCGCCTACAGTGTCGCCGCCACACTTGGTTATTTGCCGCACACTACACTACTTCCCCACGCTGGCCGTGCTGCCGACGCCGGCGGCAGTTTCGGGCCGCTGCTGCCACGCCACTGCACGGCACCCACGCGGAGTCGCGGATGATTCGAGCAGCCAGCTCGCAAGCCGTTCCCCTGCAGGGGCCTCCGGAGAGCACTGCCGCTGGAGGCGGCTGGAAGGCACACTGCAAAGCGCGGGCTGCTGGAGATGGCAGCGACGCAGCCACACACCGAGGGGCGCCTGGACGACGGCCGGCCAGGGCCTGGTCCAGGGCCCGGCCACCGGCCAGGCGGTGAAGGCCGCGGAGAGGAGAAAGTGGTTGGCGACGCGGCGACGCGGCGACGCTGCAGCAGCCAGGCGACGCGACCCCCCCCCCCCCCCCCTTTTCTCCTCAACGCACTACCATCCCGCCCGGCAGGTCGTTTGTTCGATAAGGTGAGCTGTCCCGCGTGGCGCGGCAGTGGCGTGGCGCGCGGCCGTGCGGGGGAACACAGCCAAACAGGACGACGGCGAGGAGGAGCAGCGCCAGCAGCGCTGCCGATGGCTGTTATTGGACGGGGCGGAGAAAAACACGAGGAGCAGAGCGGCGTCGCCAAGTGTGAAACTAAAACGACGAGAATGAAAGGATGACATTCAGTGGCGCGCGGCGGAAAGAAGGGGAGGGGGAGGGGGAGGCCGCCGGCTGGAACGAAAGTTTTGAGCTGCATTTTCGCGCCGCGCTGCGATGCGCGCCCCAGCGAATGCGCGCGCAGTCGCTGGAAAAAGTAGTGGAGTTTCACAATGTGCGTTTGTTGCGCATCGGGAGAGTTATCGCGACTCGCGCGCAAAAACACACACACACACACGTCCGCGGACACGCACGTTAGGTCCGGCTAGCGCTTGGCAGCCGCGCTTGGCGGTGGTTGGCAGCGGTCGGCGGCGCTTGGCTCAGCCAACTAGGAGCTCTCCCACGCCGAGCGCCGCGACGGCCGAGCGCCGCGGGGTGTCGGGTGTTTCGGAGATGCATCACCGAGGAAGCGTGGCGGTGGCCTGCCTGGCCCTGCCGGCCCTGCCGCGGCACGGCCATGCATCACACTCGTGTTCTGGGCGGCTTTCGGGGAACGCCTTGCCCGGCCACGCCCCGCCACGCCCCGCCACGCCCCGCCCCGCCCCGCCCCGCCCCGCCACGCCCCCCTCGCCCACGCCAGCCGCGCCAGAGACCGATATCCGCGGCCTCATCGGGGTCGGGCGACGCGAAATTCGGCGCGCCGTCAGGCCGTCAGCAAGCACGATTCCCTGAGGGCGGGGCGGGGCGGGGTGGGGCGGGGTGGGCGGGGCGGGGCGGGGCGGGGCTCACTCCAGTGAAAGTGACAGATTCCAACGCGGCCATTCAAGGGTGCACGACTCGGTCGCGTGAGGTACTCTTGGCACGGCCCGCCCCGCACGGCCCGCACGCGCCCAGGAGTCACTTTCTCGGTGGCGTCACAGTCACATTCTCACTCACTCACACGCAAACACAAACACACGCGTACGCACACGCGTCGGCCCGCCGTGGAGGTAGCCCGCCCGGCCGCACCCGTGTGTGGAGCAAGAAGAGGGTGCCTACCTCCAAGGCGGCGGCGTCACCGCTTTAAGTGCGTTTATAGCTCTAGGTAATTTGACTGTCAATTCTGAAGACGGAGAAGGTTTGTCCATTTTTGCCGGTGTTGTTCGGCGTCTCGGCGTGGCGGCGCCAGCGGGACTCGCTTCTCACTCCGTCTCACTCACTCCCTGGCGGCGTCGCGGCGCGTCGCCTGCATTTTAATTTGGGCTAAGTGTCGCCACTCTGCTGCAGGTTTGCAGTTTTGAAGCGCGGCCGTGCCGGCGGCGCCGACGGCCTGAGTGGGGAAAACAGGTGGCGGCACGACAACAGCGCGCACCTGAGACGAGCACTCGTTGAGCGGGCCGGGAGCAGCAGCAGCCTTGGGGCCGCCGCCGCGCCTCTGGTGACGCCGCGAATCGTCTGCACTAATTACAGGGCCACCGCGCCACGCGACAAACGGCGGACGAGCGGACGGACGGGCAGACAGTCAGACAGCCAGGGGTGTGAAGTAAGTGCAGGCCCTGCCGGCTGCACCGTGATTGTTTGCAAATGTCGCCGTGCGTGGGGGCGTGTCGGGCGTGCCGGCGAGACAGCGAGACCGCGTGCCTCGGCGTGCCTGCACCTCACCGCCTCCCTGAACCCCTCGCCGCCCCCACCGCACCGCGCGCCGTGCGGTCAAGCTCCCTAGCAAGTAGGTGGTCAGGTGGCCTGACCCCGGACACCGCCCGCCGCGCGCCGCCGCGTGTGGCGACGACACGAGTGAGAAATTATCCCCACCCGGGTCGGGACGGTTGGGAACCGAAAACTGACCGTGGCCTCTTGTTGTTTGTTCCAGGCTGGGTCCACGATGACGGACTACGAGCGGCTCAAGCGGGCGTGCATCAAGCGCGGCGAGCTGTGGGAGGACCCCGACTTCCCCGCCACGCAGACCTCCGTCTTCTACCACCAGACGCCGCCCTTCCAGTTCACGTGGAAGCGGCCCAAGGTACACTGCCAGACGCGTTCTTAGCGTGTACGCAGGGCTACGCAGTGCGCGCGTCGGCCGTGCAGAGGCAACGCGAGCACGCACGACCGGGAATCGAACCCCACGACCGCGACGGCTTTTGCGGCCAGCGCGCCGACCGTCCTGTCCTAATGCACTAACCGCCACAGGGCCCAAAGGGCTGCGTGGCGGCGAGAACCCGCAAAGGGCATGCCTGGGCCTGGGCCCTGGGCCTGGGCCGTGTCAAACGCGGCGCAACGCGGAGGCAGGCCGGCGGCCTACACGACCGCAACTTGTGTCGAGTCACCGCCGCAGCAGTGCGCAGCAGGCTCGCGGGCCTGGGGTTCATGAAGGCGTCGGGCAGCGCGGCGGGCCGTCTGATTGAGTGCCGCTGCTGTTGACAAAAGACAAAGACGGCTTTACTTTTCGCAAATCCGGTCGCGGACTAATCGGCGTCGACGGCGCGTCGCGGACGGAGGGGAGGGGAGCGAACACGCGTGGATTGGCCTGCCTCACGGCCTGACGACGCGCGAACCCTCACCCTCACCCCCGCCGCCGCGCCGCCCCTCCCCGACAACAATCTCATCGTCAAAGTTGGTCAAAGTGCTGCCGCTGCTGGCCGTGCTGCCTGCCAGTGCCGCGACGCGACGCACGTCTCGGCGGCGGCGGGTTCGACTTGGCGCGCGACGACGCTCATTTCATGCAAAGTCACCCCCACCCCCTCCGGCGCCGAACCAAGCCGAACCCGACCCGACACTGAATACCACGTTCAGTGCGGCTGGGTACACCTCAAGTTTCCGGCCAGGCGGATGGGTACATCAAGAAACGACGCAGCCCCTTTCGCTGCTATGGGTACACATTGTGTACCCAGCCTAACTCAGCCAATTTCGGCCCGATTTCGACGGGACAGGTCTCGTTCAACTCGGACGGTCAGTGCGAAGCGCGGTGCGGTGGGTTCACATTGTGTACCCGCCGTGTACCCACCGTGTACCCAGCCTAACTCGGCCAATTTCGGTCCGATTTCAACGGGACAGGTGTCGTTCAACTCGGACGGTCAGTGCGGTGCGAGATGCGGTGGGTACACATTGTGTACCCACCATGTGTACCCACCGTGTACCCACCATTTCGGGCCGCAGACCCAGGTTGCGACCACTCGTTGGAAAGGTCTCATCAAGACAAGTTCAATGCGACCATAAAAAAATTTTCTTGGACGACCCCCCTTTTTCCAGTATACAGTTTTGAAATCGATATACTGGAAAAAGGGGGTCGTCCAAGAAAATTTTTTTTTGGTCGCATTGAACTTGTCTTGATGAGACCTTTCCAACGAGTGGTCGCAACCTGGGTCTGCGGCCCGAAATGGTGGGTACACGGTGGGTACACATGGTGGGTACACAATGTGTACCCACCGCATCTCGCACCGCACTGACCGTCCGAGTTGAACGACACCTGTCCCGTTGAAATCGGACCGAAATTGGCCGAGTTAGGCTGGGTACACGGTGGGTACACGGCGGGTACACAATGTGAACCCACCGCACCGCGCTTCGCACTGACCGTCCGAGTTGAACGAGACCTGTCCCGTCGAAATCGGGCCGAAATTGGCTGAGTTAGGCTGGGTACACAATGTGTACCCATAGCAGCGAAAGGGGCTGCGTCGTTTCTTGATGTACCCATCCGCCTGGCCGGAAACTTGAGGTGTACCCAGCCGCACTGAACGTGATACCTAATGGGATGCAGCAGTTAGAGCAGAGATCGTCGTGCACGGTCGTGCACCACCCCATTCCCAGTGCCACAGCATGAGTGGTGCGAGCTAGCCCATCGAAAGCACCGCCACAGCGCCACTCCGCCAGCCGTCCCTACTAGTTTCTACGTCCCTTTCGTGAGTGTGCGGGTTGCCCCGTGAGTGCGAGAGAGACAGAGCAACAAAACGCTGTGCGACGTCGCTCAGCTCGGCTGGTTCGAGTCGGTGGCGCTGCTGTAATCCCTTCCGGTGCAGCTGGGGGTCGATCCCGAACAAAGGGCTTCGTCGCTCTGTCTCTCTCGCACCCCCAAGGAACGTGCCATGAGTGCGAGAGAGACGGAATGAGCGTGCCGGCCGTCGGCCGCCCTTTGTCCCGCCCGGTCGCTGCAACAAATCAATCTGCCCGGGCCTCACCTGTGAACCGGGACGCCCGGGCCGCGGCCGCGGGGCGGCGGTGGCGCCGCTGGCCCGACGCGATTACGGCAGCCCGTCAGGCAGCCCGCGGAGCGGGCCAAGAAATGCTTTTGGCGGAAAAAAGCTCTCGCTCCTCATCACCACACTGTGAATACGACTGGAGGAGAGGGTGGGTTGGCGAAGTAAGAGGTGCCCCGCGTGTGGGCCGCGGCCAGGGAACCTCTTGTTTCTGGTTGCCGTCAGGCGATCGGTGTCGCTTTAGCCGCTCCAGCCGCTCCAGCAGGAAGGGACGCCTGCTGGAGGCTGCGCCGTGGAGGCAGCCTTCCCTCCAGTTTCTCCAGGCCGTTAATCGCTGATTCATACAATGAAGACTCGCGGATAAGGCCGCGCAGTTTAGCGCCGGCGTGGCGGCCGGGGCCCGGTCGAGGAGAAGAACCCGCTGAACCCTGACCTGCGTCAACAGGATGCCGGCGGCAGCGAGGCGGCGTGGTTTCCTTGTTCGAGGCCCCCGCGGGAGGCGGGGCAGAGCGAAACCGGCCGCCGGTGGGAACACCGCCACGGCCCGCCAAACCCGCCCGAACTCGCGCAGTCCGCCGTTCGGTTCGCCAGGTCGAAGTTCAACCCCGAGGTTGATTAGCGTGACCCTGCAGGGCCGGGCCGGCCGGGCCGCCGCGCCGCATTGCTCTCCGTTCCATTCCGTGTTCCGAGTCCCGGGGAAACAGAGTAACGGCGCGGCAGGGTTTGGTGGCGCACCTTCACTCCCAAATTTATTGCAAGGCAATTAATCAGGCGGCGAGTAAATTGAAACCGTCAACGCGGGTGCTGTATTTTTATGAGGGCCGCCAACAGCTGAGTAACTGCGTGCGAGAGAGGCGGACATACAGCGGCGCCACCAGGTCGTCTGGGACTGAGAGCCACGTTCGCTGCTGTCCGGTGGGCTGGCTGCCCCCTCGGCCTCAAGACGTGTCACGGCGATTTGGCAACGCTTTGTTCAAAGCTCGCCGTCCTTGCCGTGCGACAATCACAATGTTTGCCGTTGCCAGAGCCGGCCAGAGCCGGCCAGAGCCGGGCTGCAACACAATGCGATCATCACGCCGATTGGGAGACGGCGCGCGGCAAGGCGCGGCAAGGCAAATACTTCCGAGGCCGCGGGGCCAGCGTCACGGCACTGCAATGGACTCGGCGCACCGCTCACAGCGCACCGAGACAATGGTCAATGTAAAGAGCCCGCCTGCCTAGCCGGCGGGTCTTACGGAACTGTTCGACTGGGGAAGTCTCCGACTCGACAAACGACGAACGATTCGGCGCGCAATTTCAAAATCCTATCACAACGCCATCTATCGGTTGCTGGGTCTACTGCGTCGGGACGAGCCAAGGGGCCGTCCCTAAACTGCTTTTTATGGAGGCGCGTAGCGTATAATGAACTATACTTTCCTTAAGGAAATGCAAATTTTCTCATAGTTTGCAAACGGGGGTAGAAAACGATACGACCTGCAGCAGCCGCACTTGGTTATTTTTGTTTACCGACCGGCGTCTGGTCTAATAATGTTGAGATTACATTATTACTTCATTTTATCAATCAACATTACCGAATGAAATTCTTTGATAGAAATGTTATTGAGGTCATCTCGTTGTTCAGTCCACTAAAATGATTATATCTGAGAACTTTGCTCGCTGCTTCACCGACTTTACTATATTGCCTACTTCGAGCTTTACTTTTGCAGTACCTAACAACTTAGATTTTGACTGTCGTATTGCGTCATACACGGTAATTTGATTTCGTTGGGGCTCAAATCCTTAAGAGTTGCGGGTTATGTTGCCCTGCTCAGAAATAATTAATGCTCAAGAAGTTATGTGTTTCAATTGTGACTCTCCTCGTCTCTCATGGCAAGTATTGCCTTATTCACATCGCTTTTCTTTTAGGTTGACTTATTGCTTAGTTTGGAAACGTATTGTG